CAAGTTCCTGAAATTTCAGCCCTGCAGCTTTTACAGGTCCTGAGATGAAAGTGCGTGACAGACGCACACACAGACGCACAAACACACAGACACACGGACACACAGACAACCTCTCGTCAATATGCGACTTTCGCATTGCATTGCTGCAAAAAACGCATAAAAAACAAAACTTTCAAAAACGAACCTGATAACAGTGATTGAGTAAATCAAGCACTTCACGTTGCCAACCCGGATATTTTGCTGCAATGTAGATTACTGCTTCTGAAGGAGCGCTTGCATCTTGGCCTTTTTTCTGTTTTAGAATCATGTGATTTTTCAGACGCGATCTGAAATCCTGAAAAAAATAAATTGAGTACAGTTTGTAGAACAAAATTAAGACTGCAAAACAAGAAGCAGTACTTCTAACAGTGAAATTTATCCAGTAAAGATTATGAAATCTCAGAAAACCAAATACACCTAATACAAAAGCAAAATTTCCCAACATAATCGGTCTTTCTGCACAATTTCATAAATGAGAAACGTGTCTCTCTCAGAAGAAGACAGACTAGCAGTGACAAAGAGGTCGATGGAGGAACGAATGTAAGGTATCAGCAGATTGTAACACAACCAGCGACAAGTTCCATTTACGTTCTGATGTAAAACAAAGATATATGCCCGCAAAATAAACTGTTCATATAGCAAGGATGACGAATAACCGATGGAAGAAAGGATGATCTTCTTGATGCGCTAGAAAAGCACTATGAAGATCGGCAGCAGCTCGATCGATCCAACAACTGGGATGTAGGGGCGATGTTTGGATGCGAAATGCACAAGATCGCAGACGAACCAAGCAAACAATTGGGAGCTGTTCCAGGCCAATGTCTTGTAATGGGTATCGCGACTCTAATAGTTGTCTTATTGGACTAGTGTGTGTCCCGTTTGCATGGTGTGTGTATGTGTGTGTGTCACACATCGCGCCGATATACATGTTTATTATACATAATAAACTAAAGGATAAGGTATAAAAAGTAGGTGAGGTTCTGGGCCCAGAATAGGAGTAGTATAAGTAGGTTAGAATAAGTAGGTCGAAAAGTGGCGATCCCGGCGAAGGGGAGGAGTGCTTTTATACCCCAGGGGACAAAGATCAGAAGTTCATTAAGGGTAGGGCAGTTAAAGTTTGAACCAGGGACAGGAGTACTGCGTCATAGTAACGCAGTTGGTCTTTAATCTATTTTTAACAAAAACCATTAATCACTACTTGATATATTACGCGATATGGGAAATGCAGCGACAGGGTGCTAAGACATTAGTTTCGATATTTCAAGAGCATATCTACCGAACTGGCAATATCAGAAAAGTTATATCAATCATTCAGTACAAAAAAAAGGAAAAGAATACTATATTTTAACAAAAGTTCAGTGATTTGCCACATTTAACGTAAAACTTGAACAAAGAAACGTACCCTAATTGCGGCATCCATGAATTCAGCTTTCTTGGTTGTTACTTCATTAGGTGCTGGAACAACTGGCCATTTTTTGTTCACAATCAAGCCATCCTGAAAATTCACTGTCGACAAATGGTTTTCGCTACTGATTTTGAAAACTAGGGGGACAAATAAATCATAAAAATAACCTTTCCCAAAATTTGCCAGATCTTTTCGCAAAGATGGGGACAAATCGGTGAGAGGATAAGTGCCTGTGTCTCAATCCATTTGAATGCCATAATAACATGCATCCCAGCGTCGCCTTCACAGAGCTCCCGATATTTGTCACGATAGCTCTGAAAGAATAAAAACCAGTGCACACAAATATCCTAATTTGCGCAAAGTACCAAAAAACTGAAAGCACAGCATGAAGCCGCTAGAAGACTGCCAATCTCAAATCTAACAGTAAACGGAAACGAAAGGCGAAAAGTTGATCATCGGATGGTGCACTTATAACAGCTATGCAAGGAGTTGCCAAATGCATCAGGGCGGTACGACCCAGAATATGCAGCTAAGGAAGTTTGTATGAAAATCAATTTACATGATATTCGTAAAATCCATATTTCAGAGCTTCTTTAAAAAGAGTCTGCTCGTAGCTTTCATATGTTTTACGAATTGCAATGTTCATTTCATTGTCGAAGACGTGATCGGCAAACGTGAGGTTCTGGCCGGAGCGAAGGCTGCCCTGATCACGCAGCGCAACCATTTCACGCACCCAAGCAAGCAGGTTGTACAGGCGCAAAATTCCAGCATCCGCCATACTGTAAACAAAATTGGCGTCTTCGATGTAGTCGCCACCATCCTGAAAATCAAAAAGCATCTGTTCCAGACCGCAGCAAAAACATTTTTATTGGTATTTTGATAAAAAAAAGTACTACTCGAGTTGAGAAATGTTAATGAAAAAATTACCGCCAAAGAAAGGCGCATGCCATCCGCCGCGAATTTCTTCACGCCTTCGCTGAGAGTCAAGAAATTACCGGTTTGTTTTGACATCTAAAAGATTCTTATTGTAAAGCGGAGAGAAGAAAAGTAATTCGGAAGTTCTCCACATTAATCCAGAAATACTTCACCACGAAATTCAGTATGTGGTATATATTTTACCACGATGTTCATGCGTCTCGTGCATATTTTAAATTTCTGTAATGTGCTCGAAACATATACATTTTTTCATTCTATTAACGCAATAACGCAATGCGTATTTAATTACACTATCATATGCTTTAATCGATGTATGCATGAGGTTAATCTGCGGAGTTACAATGTGATATACACAAGTACCGATCTACTGAGGAAAAGTTGCATCTCGATTATTCGTTTAAAATCTAAGTCAAAAATCAAAACGTCATCCACATTTGATTTCTATATGAGACGTAAGCACTCAGAAAATTGTCCAACTGGTAGCAAATGCCAACAGCTACAACTTGCTAGCAAGGCTGCTGATGTTTTCTCCTTTTGGAGTTGCTTAAAAGGGGAGCTAGTAGGAGGACTCATTTCTTAGAATAAGGCAATACCAATTTACCATCGAAACGAATGAACGAATGATACAAGGACTGACCGACCTACTTTCGCTGCAAACCATCACACTGACGAGGTCCAGATGCAGCACTGAATAGGAATGTATGCGACTTGATGGACCGAAACACTCCCATTCAGATTTTGATCTTATTGCATTCACAATCCCCTTTTTTATTTCCTTACAACCTTTCATAAACATATACCAACTAACATTAAAATTAAAATAGCCATCTCCAAAAATAAACCAAATTGAAAAAGATATTTTTACTTTTTCGTTGTTCAGCAGAAGATGTCCATTGGCACGTATACTTCGAGGCCACAACTCAGGCTGATTTTTCCACAGCGCAACGTGATTGAATAAATAGTAAGTGAGATGATTTTGCAGTAAATCCTTGCCCGATGCACGCATATCTACTGGATACCTTCAAAATTACATGGTTTAAATGACATAGAACGCGTTTTACGTAAATTTCTTAGTCATTTTATGCAATACGCCTCTCGGAAGGGTTTTTTTTTTTTGAGAAAAAAGCAAACTGTTTTGAGCAATGACTGACTGAAGGTGCTGTTCAGTCACATCAATCTGGCAACTGCCATACGTTCATGTTTCAGACATTCAACATTCAAATCTTAATAGTGCCAATTAGTGCCAGAAAGTGAGCAAACTTTCGAAAATGAACGGCTCACCAGTAGAGGAATTCATTTTTTAAAAGTGCTAGCTTGGACTCCGGCACGGGCATTGTGTCGCTATTATAGGGCTTATTCAGGAACACGTAATCCCAGCAATCATCCACCATGTCCGATGCTCTGAAATTACACAACACTACGTCAGGATGCTGAAGTAGAAGTATTCCGGAGAGGAAAAGCGCAAATTCCCAACGAACTTGATTCCAGCAGGACCAACAACGCTCCCGTCGATCACACCTCCTTGAAGCAGATGTGCAACACAATAATAGGCATTG